GTCGGGGCGAGGCCGGCCTAGCGGGCCGGGACCCCGGGCCATGTCTCGGGCCCCAGATCCGGCCCCGGGAGCCGCTGGACAGCTCCGCCCGGCTCCGTGGCCATCCCGCGCCGCAGGCCGCCGCTCTCGCGATGACTCACCGGGACTCCGCGTCGCGCTGGTGGTTACGTCCCCTTTGGACGCCAATCACCGCCCGGCGTAGTGACGTCACCATCCAGCGCCCGCCTGCGCCGGGGCTGCGTGGAGGTTGGTGGCTGTCGGGGCCGCGCGGGTTTCCGCGGTTTGTACCCCTTCTCAGTCCCGAAACCCACACCGCGTGGGTCAGAACTGAGTTTCCAGCGTGACCTCCGGGTTTTTCTAATGCCGCCCGTGTCCACGCTGCAGGGTCGCTTCAACCAAACTGACGGGCATTGTCACGTCCCTGCTCCTCAAGCCACAGGGCCTGCGCGCCTGCTGCTCCACCGAGTAAGTCTTCAGTCTCATTTCTCCTCGAAACCTGTGAGTTAACACATTCTCAGCATGGCAGGGCGGGCTCTTAAAGTTTTTTGATTTATCGCCGTCATGCAAACAAAGTAGTAGAAGGGTCGATGAGGAAGGAGCGTTGTCCTTCCTCTCGGGAGAGAGGAGCGCCGCCGAGCGAAGGTCGCCGGAAAGGAGCAGGGCCTGGCTGCTGTCGCCAGCACGAATAAGTCGTTACCTGTGGTCCTGAGGTTTTTTATTTGTCCTTCCAACTTCCTTGCCGTCCCGAAAGGTGCTGCTCCCTGGATCGGGAAGCACAGTACTTAGGGATCAAAGTTCCACCCTTTTTAATCTTACTGACCCCTTGGCCTCGTACGTGGACGCTGGTCAGGAGTAAGGACGCTGGCTTTACTACCATTGTGTAACTGTTCCCAGAGGTCGTGCTCATAAGCTTGAATCAACTAGGAATTATAATTGAAACTGAATATAGTTGATTATAATCTTGAACTGTTCAGATTTAATTCATCTAAAAGTCATAACATGAAACAAGGGCCTAATAGACTGTTAACTAATAATTGTTTCAAATAGTTTTTCCATGTATACATAATTTATGTTTATTGGCAGTTTGCAAATGCAGCAGCCGGTAAGCACTAAGCCTTCTCATTGCACAATATTATCTGTAAAAATTCCTAAAGCCTACTGTCACCTCCATTACCGAACACCTGCTCCACTCCTCTTTCTAGACACTTTAGAACATTTAATTTGTCCCTCATTTTCTGCATCACTGTCCACGTTTGTGTTTAGTTGAATTTTCATAGTGAGACATTTGAAACATTTTCTCACTCACTTTTGTGTATATGTGATAGGTACTTGCGTGTGTTTACAATGAGGATTACATTTAATATCTTAAAGTTATAACACTTTCAATAATAAAAGTTCTGCTTATACATCTTTATCGTCACCCCTTTCTGTTATCATTGTCACAGAATTACAGCTTTATACACTGTCCAAAATTATAGGCTAATAGTTGTTTTCTAATGCAAGTAGGAATAGAATGAAAATAGGCAAAAACGGTGTTTGTGTGCTTCTTTGAGTAGGAGACTCAGGATTCATGTGCTGCTCACATTTCTCTGGGGAGTTGCAGCCAGGCCCTGTGAGTGTACACCCACAAGTCACAGATTAAGAAGCAGCCGTACAAGTCCCCAGTCAGCATCATGAAGGATGTCCTGTGCATGCTCATCATGACCGCAGCTGCCCTGTTCTCAGTCTTCTTCTTCTTCTTCATTAGAGAAAGCCCTTTTGACACTACAAGTTTCCTGTCCTTAGTGAGTACCAGAAGCCATGGGTCGAGCAAAGTGGAAATCCCTGGACTGAAAAAAAAGAGACATTATCTAAGTGTCCATTTGTGTGAAATTGTCACTAACATTGTAGACACTCAAAGAAGAAAAACAATAAAGCCTAAGGACTCAACATATTTTTCTTTGATGGGGCAATAAAAGATATGGCACTCTGGGAGAGAGAATTCAGGGCTAGGAAGAAATTACACTTGTTTCCTATGGTTCAAAGTTACACATTTTATCCCCATTTTATACTATAGGATCCTGAACCTCACTGAAGTTAAGTCATTTCTGCAAGTTGAGAAAAATTGTAAGGGATTGAGAAAATTCCACCAGAACCCAGGAAAAGCAAAGAAAAAAAGGGAGAGGGGTGAAAATTAATTTTGATGATGAAGAATTTAGACTGGGCCCAGCCGGGCGTGGCTCAGCCATTAAGCGTCGACCTAGGATCCAGGCAATCGAGGTTCGATTCCTGGTCAGGGCACGTGCCCAGGTTGTGGGCTTCATCAATGACTCTCTCATCATTGATGTTTCTATCTCTCTCTCCCTCTCCTTTCCTCTCTCTGAAATCAATAAAGATATATTTTTTTTAAAAAAAGAATTTAAACTCGGGCACTGGGGTAGCATCTCCCCATCTCCTCTCTCATGCTTAACACATGCTTTGCCCTTCATTGGATTAAGTGACCGACATCAGACTAGTCAGAGAGATGACTGTGGGAGAGGAATGGCGCGGGCTGACACACTCTCATTTCCTACATATAACCCCGGACTCCCTTCACCCCAAGACCCATAACCTATACAAAAATCCCCAGGGTAGAACTTTTTCAGATGATAGAAAGAAACTGAGTTGAGCCCTGAGCAACCTAACCCTGTATCCTGGAGGTGTTTTATTATGTGATGCGAAAAGGGAACCCACTCAGCCATTATTCCCAAAGGGCAGGACTCAGAGATGAAACTTATCTTTTCTCAGGAGGAAAAGGAGCTGGTAGCTTGGCAGAGAGCCCGGATGCAGCTCAACCCTGGTAGAACACATCACCTGCAAAAGTTCAAATATATGCAGAAAAACTTAGAATCACTCAAAAACGTGAACTCCCGTATCTTGGTTGGAGCCCCTCCTGTGGAAAAAAGTGAGTGTGCACAGGGGTCTAGACCATGAAAGGGGCAGGTCAGGCAGGTGGAGAGCAGAGACTCACAACAGCATCTGACACAATAGACCACTCTTTCCAGTTGCTTCCAGGATCCCAAACTCTGGTTTTCCCCCAACCTCACTGATAGATCCTCAGTGTCTTCTGCTGGTTTATCTTCTCTCTCCAACATCTAAATGTCGAGGTGCCCAGAGCTCATTCCTTTTCAGGACTGCCTTGGTGACCTCACCCAGACTCACAGCTTTAAGTACCACCTATATGCTGATTACTCCCAAATTTACAGCTTTAGAACAGATCTGTCTGTGGTCCTCGCTCACCCCTGCAGTATCCTTTTCCCTGTCATGGTAACCATGTTGGCATCTGTTGCTGAGATCTGTGTGTAGACATTATGTGGCCTTTCTTCTGTCAGCTCAGTCACACTTTGTGGTTCTCCCTTTGGGTGGCTGAACTTAGAATTCCTCTGAGGCTTTGAAGATGAAGATGCATCTATGCATTCGTTTTTTTCTGTGTCTTCTGAAGTATGAAGTCTTCTACTTAGACTTCTCCACCCCTCCTGTTCCATATTCTCTGTCTTCCAGGAATTCTGCAAACATTATGGTTCTTTAATGGCAACTTTTCTGGTTTTTCAGTGGCATTTTGGGTGAGAAGAGACATAAATGCAAATTTTTTCGTTTATCATCTTTATTTCTCCAACAGTAGTTTCTCAAAGGTAATGATTTTTTAAAAGCTCACAATTTGTGACCAGATATTAACTCCTAACATAGTCCATACTTAGGCCTGGGGGAGAAAAAATGTAAAATATCCATAGGAACACATTAAGTTGGCATATGGGAAAACCTGAGAGTATTATAACCACACCCGTAGCAACTGTTTTTCTCACTTCCATAAGTTGATAAAGGTCCTCTCTCTCCCCAACCCTAGAGCTGCTGACCATAGGGATTTCTTCAGTGCAGCGTCCCCAGGGGAACCACCTCGTGGACACCCTGCAGTCTCTCTTCTTTGCCTCCTCCTCATCTGAGCGGAAGCACGTCACTGTTCTGGTACACCTGGCAGGTCCGGACCCCAAGTGGCTTGTACAAATGATCTACAATCTCTCAGCCCTGTTTAAACCACACATCCAGGCCAGAGAGCTAGTAGTGATCACTACTCCTCTCACCAGCTACCTTCCCTTGAAGGACCTTGAGAAGACCTTTAACAACCCTCCAGCCCACGAAGCCTTCCACTCCAGACAGAACATGGACTATGTCTCCCTCATGAGTTTTGCTACCCCCTACTCTGACTACTTTCTGATGGTCGAAGATGACGTGAGGTGCGCCCCCGGATTTGTCACCCAGATAATTACCACAGTGTCTGCCTGGGCAAGCAGTCCTTGGGTGATGCTGGAGTTCTCTCCCCTGGGTCTCACTGGGACACTTTTCCACACTGGAGACATGTCCCACTTTGTCCCCTTTGTGCTCCTCTTCCGAGAAATGCCCTGTGCCGACCTCCTTTCCCATTTTCAGGACCTCTCCAATCGCACCCGGGTCCAGTTCCTGCCCTCCCTCTTCCAGCAAGTAGGCAACTCCTCCTCCTTTGAGGAAGATGACTTTGGCTCTCCCAGCAACCCTGCTGCCTCTGTCCACACCAGCCTAAAGGTCGCCAACAACTCTGTTCCCTCAAATGCCTACAGCCTGGATGAGAACTTCTTTTACACCAAGTCGGCTGAGCCTGGCAGCCATCTAACTATAGTTTTAAAAGTACCTGCCCATGTGTCCCGAGTTGAAGTGCTGACTGGCTCTGACCTGAGAGGCAAGAATCAGCTGGAAGAGGGACAAGTAGAACTGGGCTGTGATTCTACAAACAAGGTCAGTGACTGTGACGACTATGTTCTGCTGGGGCTACTGGCAAATGGCATTCTGAATAAGCAGGTGTTGTCTTACAAGTCTGCGAAGAAGGTGAAATGTGTGAGATTGCTTGTGACAGCCCATGCACCCTCTGGAGTAGTGGTCAGGCACATCAACCTCTGGACCAAGTGAAGTTTAAGTGATAAATGTGCTCTTGGTCCCAGAGCCACTGGTGGATGAGGTGGGCTTGTTAAAACCCTGCCTTGTTTTCTCTCCAAAAGGCCTACCATTCAGAATTCTCCCCTTGAGGCAGGAATACCCGACTTCCAGAAACAGCAGGAGCACGTGGGTAGGACTGACTGACGCTCATATCACAAGACTAGCCACACAACAGAGGATGGGGGCCTCTCCACTAGCAGAAATGGACTCATTAAAGGCTGAACTTCCTGTGTGGCAGGAGAGGAACACAGCTGTGTGCTCTGTGGTCTCATTTTCCATTCAAGGTGGTCATTTGATGCACACGTATTGATCCTGTTATGGTCAGGCAGTGTCCTCTTCTACATGATTACCCAACATGCCAGGTATTCCTTTTTAAATAGCCTCCAAATTACTGAAAATCATTTGTTCTGATCCGTGGTAGCTCCTGTGTCCAGCACAGTCTTATCTCTGGGACTATAAGGTAACGTGGGTTTCTGATAGGAAAAACTTCAGATATTTTACTTTTTTTTCACTGTTTGGCTATGAGATCTTTATTCCCAGAAAATTTGAGCCCTGAGCTCAGCTAGTGTGCAGTGTCCGGTTTTCACTAGCTTGAGAACTAGAATCCATGAAGGCAGGGAGAGGAGGAAAGGAAAGGACAGCTCTAAGAGGGATATTTGGGAAGAACCCAAATCAAAAGTCAGGCAGTGTGTCCCAGTGATCTGTAATCCAAGTGAATGCAAGAGCTGGAATCTGCAAACAGGATGGGGGGACAGAAACAAGGAAAGGGGGTGGGAGGGAGAAGCTCAGCATCAGGCAGCCACAGGATCGACCTCAATGTTGGTGGCAAGGCCAATACACCCCGCAGAATGCTCCCAGCTGATGGCTGACCAGAGGGTCACCAGCAGGGCGCATTCTGACAAGATGGAGTGGGCCTCTGACAGGTGACATCAGCATGTTTGAAACTCCCAGAACCACACTGCAGTCCCAGGCTTCCTGGCCAATCCTTCCTTCTCTGTCACCTTCTACCCTTGTCAGACCTTGGCCAAAATCTGAAGCCTCTCCCTGCCTGCTCCTCTCCACTAATGAAGCTCTGGAATGTCTAATCCCATGTTCACGTCAGCAACTTGGCAGATGTGAACTAACAAGGGGGTGCTGAGAGTATTCTGAGGAAACAGTAAGGTGGGGATTTGGGACTGGCCTCCTCAGGATGTTCAGGTGGTTGTGGAAATAGAGGTTAAAATAGGCCAACAGGACATCATCACTATGGGCAAAGTAGGTAGGCAGACAACCACGAAAGGCAAAAATGGAGGAACAGTTGCCCTAGTAAGTCAATCCCTTGCCTGATTTATGGACCTGAGCCAATTTTCAGGTCCCGGTGCAATGAGGGGAGGTGGGCAGGTCCCTAGAGAGAAGGAACCCGCAACACAGGTCCTGTAAGATTACCCAGACCGCCCCCACCCCCACCAAGGCACCTACAGACATTTACTTGGGTAATTGTACAACTGGGGAAAGGGAGACAAGGAATTTAGGATCCATTTAGGAATGTAGGTTTGGGCCACACCACCAGGGAATCCACAAAACCCTCTGACGTGATAGCTGAGGGTTAAGATGGATTCCCCACTGACCTGTCTGAAGCTTTCTTGAAACTGCTGATGTCTACAGCCCCCCTCCCTTCCCCTTCATTCTCACTTGTCAAACCTGCATTGCGGCCTCAAAGGCTGTGATGC